ATACATAATTTACAAGACTGCTAGCAAAGAAGAAGAGAAATCAAACACTGATTTAAATCTTCCTGTGATATGGCTGCCTGAAGGGAAGCTCATTCTTGATGCGGAGTTCCCAAATTTTACTAGTTCACCAAACACTGTGCTTAAGGCTGATGGTGATTATGGCTGTCTCTGATAGTTCATCGCATCAGTGTAATTTTAATTTATGGATTTCTTAGTTATAAATCAAGACCATCACAGAAAAAAATTGCTGCCCCTGAGTCATATATCTCATCAGTGCATTCACTCTATAAATCAGAGAGCTTATGCATCCTATTATTTCTAAGAGGAAGTTAAAAGTCAGATATTGTAAAATTTCATTTTCTGTTCATCTGAATTCCTGTGCTTTTGTGAAGAAAAAAAAAAAAAAAAAGTGAATTCCATCTTAAGAATTTGACTACATTTTTACTTGAGAGTTACAGTGCTTTGATATTCATTTCCTTCCTTAAGAACTAAGTTAACATAATTGGATCTCTACTCAAGCTTCTTAACTGCTTTAGCTAAATGTCTGATTATGAAAGCACCACTAATTGTGCCTGCCACATCACTAAAAGATGATCAACTCAGAAAAATATACATTTGTATCTACACAGTTTTTCAGATTAGGTTCTTTCAATACAGATTTTGGTAGACAAAAACAATGTATTTGCTTGAAATGAAATCTACAACATTTTTAAAGAGGAAAAAAGCCTCTCAAAAATGCACCCAAAACAACTGAATAGGTTACTAAGTCATAAAGTTAACTGAGAAAATTATTATTAAAACTTCAGGACTGAAACTATTTCCATTTTTGCCACTAAAATAAAAAGCCATCAGTTAACATATCTTTCTAGCTTTTATTACACTATGAGCAATACAGAACACAGTTTCTAAGAGGACATTCATTATTAGTCATGCAAGCAAGTCGATTTCAAATCATAAGAGCTAGGAAAAGCAAGCTTGTTTTTAACTTTCCTCCTACTGAGATTATATGGTTGAGAGCCCAAATTTGTAAACCCACACATTTGTAGAAAACGATTACGTGTGACCTGGTATGCAAAATATTGTTGCAATATGAATAAAACATAACTTTTGTTTAAAAACAAACAAACAAACAAAAAAATCCACAAAAACTGTTTTACTTTTTTTTTTTTTTTTTAATTCATTATAAAAAGAAGAATATTTTGGAGTGAAAACTATCAAAGTTGCCTGAAAATATGTTATCTTTTTCTACTAATAAAGGAAAGAAAATGAAGAAAGCAAACAACCATAAACTATATTAGCTTAACCTATGATCTAAACCAAAGATTTTTTTCTATCAAAGTGATTAAAAAAAGCCAAACTTCTCAGGTCTGATTATTTACAGTACATTAGGAATATTTAAATTCAAGCAACTTTAGAGAGGAAAATGACTTTAAAAGGAATACAAATTTACATTGCTAGAATCTTGTAAAGTGATAATTATATAAAAGTCAGCTAAGATTCTTTGATGCTGTAGTTTGACGCTTCCAAATATCTGCCCTCAGAATTGCCTCACATCCGTCAAAGATACTTTATTCAGACTCAAAAACCATGTGAAAGTTTAAATTTTGAAGATTTTAACTCTTTGCAAATTTAGCTTTTATACCACACATCACCTTATCACACGTCTGTGTTTTGTAAGGATTACAAGCACACTTGTAGCAGTAATCATAAAGTTTCTATATCCGGAACCTATAGCTGCTTCAGAGAAAATCTGAAAGGTCAGTCTGCCTAAAGGAGAGCATTAATGTTACTGAGGACTACAGGGAGAGACCAGTATCCCAGCTAGAAGCCTTTACATCAGTAGTAAGGTCTGCTGACAAAGAAGCACTCAGGGAGCAAGACACAGTCTTTAGCTATCCAGGGTTGGCACTTTCTGCCCAAAGTGGAAGCCAGCATTGCAGCAGGAAGGAACAAGTCCAAAGCTTGACCACGAGGACCTGAAGAGGCAGTGAAAACTCTGAGGAGCCAGAGAGTAAAAGAGGAATCCTGAGGGTTGTGTTCAGAACAAACAGGGCGTGCTACCAGGTGATGACACAACAGTGACCTGCAGTCAAGACTCAGCAGTGAAAATATCACTAAGTTCCCTATGAGAAAGGAAATAAAAATACATAGAAAGGGAAAAAGGAAACTTTTGACTCAACTAGTTAGGTACAAGACATCTTCTAATCTTTTTTTAAGTAATTGTTCAAAAGGCTTACTGTACTGCAAAATCAGCATTTCCATGATTTAATTTCCTGTCACAGAAAATAAATAAATGAAAAAAAGCTATAAGCTATATAGACCAACAAAAGCATAAGTGGCTCATGGCATGTTACCACATAATTTGAAGTAGAAACATCTGTAGCACTAGGATTAGAAGTATCTATAGAGGATATCTAGCTAACACAGCATCTTTATCAAGATGAAGCTCTGCAGGAGAAAGAAGGATACAGTGGGAAAAGTATTATATTTAAGAAACATCCCCCGTATAGAAGAAAAAGGTAAAAAGTACTTCTTTGTCTTCAATAAATATGAAAGTTTTATCTGAAACCACTGAAAATATTCTCTGTGTTTCCTCAGATCTATTGGCAATCAAAGGCTCTAATTTGCAAGTATGATTATTCGGAGTATTGACAATCACCCACAAGGATTACTTGGTTTCAATACCCTTCATCTAGTGAGATGTGACAGTAGGGCTGTCACAGCAGATCACCATGTAGCATAAGAATCACTGACGTGATTAAACAAGTTCAGTGCATACAGAAACAGAGGGAAACAAACTGCATCCCCCCGTTTTATGTCTTCCTTGTTCACTGTTACTGTACCAGCACCTGTACACACCAACAGCGTGTGTCCAATCGTCTATAATGACAACTAGAAATTCAGCATCTTAAGCCCTGACAAACCAAAAACTATAAAGTTCAATCTTCCCTTTTGAGGTCCTCCAAGATGAGTAAGTCCAGAAATAGGTGAAAGACAGAGAGAGAAAAATCTCATTGAATCCAGCTGTATGGGCAACCCACAGGAGCACAGAAGCCAGGTGAACATGGGGTGAGAGAAGCTACGAGCTCAAACACCAGCAGCAGGACAGTGCACCAACAATCTGACATCTCTACCACTCACAATCTAGGTAGCTCGTCTGTGAATTTGGACACATTATGATGTCCAGTGAGTGACCTCACAGCGGTTAAAAGAAAGAGCCACAGGTACATTCTAATACATCCATTATCAGTGAGAGCTACAAAGAGGTGTCGTTAAATCCTTTCCTGGTACCTTTTTTTGGTCAGTGTGCTTTAGCATGGTGCAGTCTCAGCAGTCTGAATAGAAACCAATCCATTGGTATGTCAGAGAACTCACTGCAGTACACATACATCAGGCAAAATAATGGGATGGAAGATCTACAGATTAATGAAAAATTGAGTAGCCTCGGTGGGGATAGAAAAGTGCAAACTGGAATGGAATTAAAATTGAAGCAAATTCTAAGATAGCTCCTACTATATAACTGCTCTTTTAGTGCTAATATGTACAAAATGTACACATTAGTTTTTCAGCTTTTTTATAAATACTGTTACTATTCAGAAAACTATAGCAATTAAGAAGATCATGAATATTTGCTATAACAGTTATAATATGGATCTAACTCTAATAGTTTCCAGAAATTACTGTTTAGTATTAATCTTAAAATGTATTTAGGATGCTGTTTTTTTTTTCCTTTCATGCCTTTCAACAGATAGATATCAGGTTACTGGAAGGAGTTAATGCTGCTACACAATATGCTACATATAATTTCTGTTGTAGGGCTGGGTTTTTTTTGTTTCCTCTATTTGGGCTGAATAATTAAATTAATGAGACCTTACCAAGTACTTACAGATATAAAATAACAGATATGATAAAGTGGTTTAAAAGCTAAGCTTGTGAATGAGGAGCTACCACATGTATTACTAATGGTAGCACTCAGACAATTATTTGCAAAGTAGTCTCAACATGAGAATCATTTGTACATATTTACAATACTGTCTTTCTTACATTTCATCAGGAACATCTTATATGAACTGTTAGAAACTTGCTCTTTGTGATTTGATTGAAATCACTGAATAAACTCCTCTCGGTGAATCCAGTCATCAGTTCATACCATCCTTTAGCAAAACAACAACTGATATTTCAAATTTGAAAAGCTAAGGTAAACCCTGTATAAGATGGATTGGCTTAACTTCCCTGTTCTCAGGACTGTAGCTTTCCTGATCCCCAAAACTTCTCAAATTACAGCTATGGCTTAATGCTTAGCTACCATTGAAATATTCTTTCATAAGCTATTCTCTGAACCTTATTGGAATGGTGAATTTCGAAACAAATATGGTTCAATGCACATGAGGAGTTTAGTTATCAGAAAACTTGCAGAATACAGTAAAGGATAAATTAGAAACACTTCCAAAGGAAGAGTTGTTTATTTCCTCTGTTGTTATGTAATAATGGCTAACTATATCTAAAAACTCCAAATTCTCCCTTTATATTCAAGAAATATATTTATTTCAGTAGTTCATCATCACAGTGTTTCAACCAAATCAGAAGTGGTCATATAGTCCAAATGTCCCTTTTACAAAGTACATTTCTATCCCTTTGCATTCTGTTCATATTTGAAAGACCCAAGCAATATATATGTGTGAAATATTTTGTCTGACACCTTCTTTTGAACTATGAATTACTATTTCTCAGCCTAACTTCATAGTCAAACCAAGGAATATCTGATATATAAATGATTCTAAAATATAATTTAAAGCAGCAGGAGAATATGTAACACAACTTTAAAAAAAAAAAAAAAAATCATTTTTTATGTTATTTTTTTGCAGTCTTCCCAAAAAGAGAATGGAATAACTTTTCTCTGCCAACTAATAGAAATCCTCAACATTACTGAAGTGTAATAATGTAATATACAAATGTTTGTATTTCTCCAATGTCTGCATCGTAGTTAAATTACCACTTACATTTAGATGAAGTTGATTGGTCCAATGACCAATTATTTTGTATTCTGTACTCTTGTTGGTGATCTGATACTGAAAAATATCATAACGTCCAGGAGCATCTCCATTTTCATTGAAGATAACAGGTGTTCCAGCACTCCCTGAAAAAAATTAACAAGCAATTAGGATAAATACCTTTACAGTAATTTTCCAGAAAAATACATATTCTGGAAGAGTATGTAATTAGAGTACTAATTAGAGGAAGCTGACGACAGTGAGTAGGTTCTTCTTAATGCAATGCTACTATTGTAATAAATTCAAAAAATCTCACAAAGAAAATGTGTGATATTATAATAAAATCTTCCTTATATGTAAATTAACTAAAACAACACTGAAAAAAAATCCAAACATCAGTTGTGGAAGAGTTACTTTTGGCATGCAAAAGGATACAATTTCATTTTTGGATTTGAATATAATGCCGTAGACTCAAATAGCAATCTTGGAATGAACTCCTTAAAGAACTCTGTTAAGTATGAAAACAAATGAATACATTCAATGTAAGTGCCAATGCTTATAAAAGACCTTGAGGAACAAGTGTCTAAATCTGGTCTCAATTAATGCAATCAGCTTGTAGCAGTGACCACCTGTGTAAAAGCGTTTTATCAAAATAAACTGAGGTTAGCAGCTGTGTTTGTTGCTCTCTCTTCTGTACACGACACTGTCAGATAGAAAGGTCCATTGCTGGAGCTGTCAAAAGTTATAAATCGGCACTCTGTTCTTCCTTCGATCAACAAAATGTTCAAAGATTGAAAAATACCTGTCTACCTTGGAAACTAGACCAGCCAAATTAGAACATGTTTTGATGAATTTCCACAAGGTGACATCACCTTCAAGGATCTGCACTTCTACAGAGGCTTTCTGAAAACTGCACAAAGAATGTTATATTCACCAGTTTCTCAGGTTCATACATATAGAGGAAATAAATTTATAATTGAGGTCCACTGACACAAAATGCAAGTATCTTAAAGTTATTTTTCAGTAACTGGAAAATGCAATACATGTTTACAGAGTAAAAGAACAAATAAACAAAAACACAGAACAGCCGTGTTTTTACATTTCTCCACATGAATAACGATAAAAAGAAAGTATCTTGTTCATACTAAAATCCTACAGTATAACCTTGTTGATGCAGTACTTAGAGGTACTAAAAGTCCACTGCATGAGTGTCTTCCACAGAATGGCAAAAAAAAAGCTTGGAAGTCTGCGTAAATATTACATAGAAGTGCCAGTGGAAGTGGGGCTAGCAGTCTACATACCCCAGAATTTCAGCATAAATACTTCCTTTATCTCTGTCAGCCCTAAACTGTTATGTTCTTCTGCTTTGTATAACAGTTTTTATACAAAACTGATAACCAGTGAAATAAACAGAGCTTTCTGAGTGACAACTGGCACATTAATCACTGTGCCAATTTCACAGTTCTGCCAGCAAAACTTTGGCAGCAAAAATTAGATATGAGTAACTATGAAAGAGGAGTATCAACAGATTATGTATGATAAATACTTAGGACCCCATTAAAATACAAGAGACTCAATACAAAATTTTGGAAATCTCTTCATGTTTTGCCTTCAATTCCTTTGACAGAATGAACTGCAAGAAAAAATGGCAGTCTACAGTCTTTTATAAGCAGTGGAATTATTCTTCACTGCACAAATAAATGGTTGATCCAATAAAATTCTTTCATAAAATAAACACAAACTCAGCAGTTTTACTGAGTAGCTATTGAAGTAACCTTCAGACTGTTGCTCTCAAGTAGCGATAAGATTCATCTTTCTACTCAGCAGCATGTAAGCAGCTCATGGGAAGAGCAAGTATCTTTTACCAATAGGTGCAAAGTGTCATTTGTTCCAAAGATCAATCGGGACTTCAGTCATTTTTATGCTCAGCAAAAGTGAGCTTAAAATCTACTGCTTTTTTCTTTTTCTGGAAATATCATGTACAAAGACTACAAAACACAGTACAAACGATAACTATCTTCTTCTTTGATATAGTCATGTTTTCAATTAGAGCATTTCACACTGCCCTCCTCAGCTGACAGTGGCAAAAAAATCTGCTCAATTCATCTGTCACTTAACTGAGTCCAACACAATCTCTCTTACAGCAGAAGTTGCAACTGCTCTTCACACACCCTTCAAACAGATACGTCAGAAGGTGGGAAATGGGGAAGAAACATTTCTTCTGATGTAGGAGAAGATTAAGTTTGTGACCAGCTGAGTAACCTAAACATCCGTAAATCTATGGGTCTTGATGAGATGCATCCCAAAGTCCTGAGGGAATTGATCAATGTAGGTGCCAAAACATTCTTGACGACATTTGTAAATTCATGGCAGTCGGATGAAATCCCTTGTGACTAGAAAAAAGGCAACGTCACATCCATTTTTACCCAGGGAACTACTGACCTGTCAGTCTCACCTCTGTGCTGGAGAAGATCACGGAGCAGATCATCCTGGAAACTATACTAAAGCACATAAAAGAGAGGAAGGTGATCTGAAACAACCAGCAAGGCTTCACCAAGCACAGAACCTGACCAAACTTCTGGCCTTCTATTTCGGTGTAGCTGCGCCAATGAACAAGGAAAGAGCTACTGATCTCGTCTATCTGGATTTAAGAGAGGTCTTTGACTCAGTCCTCCAGAACTTCCTCCTTTCTAAATTGGGAAGATATGGATTTGATGGGTGGACTGTTGATCAGACAAGGAAGATCATACCCTGAGAGTAGTGGTCAATGTCTCAATGTCTGGATGGAGATCAGAGACAAATGGTGTCCTTCAAGGATCAGTACTGGGATAGATGCTCTTTATGATCTTTATCAGTGACATTGACAGTGGGATCAAGTAAACTCTTAGCAAGTTTGCAGATGACAACAAGCTGTGTGGTGCAGCTGGCACAACCAAGGGATGGGATGCAATGCAGAGAGACCTAGACAGGTTGAAATAGTAGGCTCAGGAGAATCTCAGGATGTTTTAGCAAGATTTTAGCAGAAGCTTTGGAAGTGTAAGCAGAGAATGAAACTAGAGTTCTCGATGCTATAAACAAAACATCAACAATTAATCAGTGTTCTTAAAAGAATGTTAACCTTCTCTGAAGAATATTATGACCTGATGGATGATTTAGATGAATCTAAATCAGGCTAGTCAAAAAACAAAAAGGAAATACTTTACCTAAGAAAATATACTTTGTTTGGATAACCCATTAAATATATAGTTTACCAAATTAAAGTGAATGTATCTGTGGAAAAACTGCCTAACACTGTATAGAAACAAGATGATAAACCCATATGGGGAAACACCGAGCCTGACTGTAACTTATCATGTCAGTGGAAACACATCCAGATTCAGGCACTTTAAGAAACCTCACTAAGTTGTACAAACACACCTCCTTTTATGACAACCTGACAAGAAGAATTATGCACTCTTAACATCCTCTACTATATGCAATTTTATACCGGCATGTGTGCTTGTACAGTATTATTGCCATTACAGGGAATTGCATTTTAGTATTAGTTCAAGACACTGAGTGATTACTGTTCCATTTAATGGATGTTGAGGACTGGCTGCTAAATCAAAACACAACACATTTCGGTCAGAAAGCAATATAGAAAACAACGCTCTACCTGAAGAAATCAGTCCAGATTTTATAAACTACAGCTTATATAAAAAGATTCTGGGAAACCTCATTGAATAGTTCTTAGAAAGAATATTTACTTTAGAAACTAAATGCAGATATCCTTGTTCAGGAACTACGTTTATTAGGCACCTTCATCTGAAAAATGTTACTTTTGCTTATGAAAAAAACGCCCCTGCAATGTTTGTCTAGGATAATTCAGTGAATAAATGGCAGCCTATGCTTTTTTAAATTATTTCACTAATTTCATAATCATTTTTCTTATAACTTTACAGCAGTCAACTAGTAAGACAGTCAAAGAGCAGTGAGGGAAATGTACTTTTTCACATTTTATTCTGTGCAGTTATGTTGTTATGTATCATTTTAACCCATGAATGACTAAAACATAAGTATACGGCAAAATTTCAAGAATACATGGCTAAGTATTGAAAATACAGGTGAAGCTTCATCTTTCCTTACAGCCACCTCTTTTAATTTATTTTTATAAGCTTTGCTACTAACTTATGATGATATTCATTTCTGATGCTTATCTTTGCTGAGATACTTTTAGATTATTATTATAATTATTATAAATGTTTAACTATATACTGATAAGTGGAAGAAAAATTTTAAATTTTATAACAAAGTATAGTGAAGCATTGTTCAAATGGCTTTCAGGCTTGTTTTGAAATCCTATTCTTTTTTATTTGAAAAAGTACAACAAAAGAGTAAAATGAACTTATTTAACATACTCAGATTAAGAAGAAAAGTTGAGAGGTTGAGTCCCATGGTTAGCATAGGTTTAAATTGCTCGTTTCACTTTATAGAAACTACAAAGTCTGTTCTGAAAGTAATGTCTTGTATTTATTATGTTGGCTTAAGACATCAGAGGCAGATGGTGGTGGTACGGCAGTAGAGGCTGAATCTTCCCACCAATATCCTGTTACATGTTGTTGCCGTGCAACAGATGGCAGCAGAGGGGCGATCTGACAAATGGCATCTGACATGGAAGCACATATGAAGCAAAGGTGTGTCACTGAATTCCACTCTGTGGAAAAAAAATGACACCCATTGATATTTGTCAATGCTTCCTTAGCATTTATTGAGATCAAACCGTGGATGCCTCACTGCTGGGAGGCAGTGAGTAGTTCTGAACTGATTACAGCGCTCTAAAAGCAGAGCTTTTTCTATGTGCGATGCTGTGGTTTAAAAGAGAAAGAAAAGGCAGACGAAGAAACACTGGGTGTTTCTGAACAACTCTGAGTTTCTCATGTTGCGAAGAAGGCATTTGTCTACTACTCAATATAATTTTAATACTCATGTAGGTATATATGAGGAGGTCATCTAAAAGCTTCACTTTCTTTTATGCATTGCATATCAAGTCCCCCCTAGTTTTTGATGGACTGAATTACTAATAAATAGACATTGATTAAAAATCACTCCATAATCAAACAAATCAAATAGTTTTCTTTAAAATCTATAATTGGATGCACTGACAAAT